TAGTGACACCCTAGGGAGGTAGCCCTGCGGTAAGGGCAGCTGGAAATTCCCCACGTAATTTTTCATACAAAATAACTTTTTGTTTAGGCAGAAATTCTTAGAGGAAGAGAGAGGTGCAGTCCATTCCAGAAAATGTTCTGCTTTTCAGCAAACACAAAAAGCCAAAGACAATATTCCTCATTTTCACTGGCATTTTTCATGAAAGGGCAGGTGAATTCCCGAGGAGCAAGGTCAAAGAGCAAATTATTGCCCTGATCCGTGTCCTGGCTGCTAGGAGTTGTCATGGTGCCGCACTGGCTCCTGCCACCACGGAATTTGGTCTGTAGAGTCTGCACACAGCTGGGCTTATTTCCTACTAATTTTGTTGTTATATGCTAGATGTGAAGTCTTTGCTCTGAAGTCACTGCTCCATCTGCCTTGAATCAGGGTCTGCACAGGCTTGACAAACCCATCAGTGGCATTTGTCGAGTTTTTCCACAGCTCTGTTTGTTCCTTCTAATCCTCCTGGGAAAGGCTGTTTTGTTGCTTCCTGCAGCAACACTTTGCGAGTCCAGTGTTTCCTTGCCTGCCCAGTTGCAACACGCCACACTTCACACGTGTTTCTCCTCCCTCTAGTCCCCTTCAACTCCATCCTATGTCCTAGACTTGCTGCTGTATGTGGTGGCAAGCCAGGATGGCTGTTGTCCTCCAGCCGGTCACTTTTTTCTTTATTCCATTTAACGTGGTGTATTTTGGTAAGCCGTTAGCTCCCAAGAGGCAGCAATAAAATTAGTCCTGGAATAGCAAGGAGCTCACTGGGGAGGCTGGACCTGCTGGGCTATGCTGTGGGTACTCACATTAGCCATGCTGTGTTTCAGAGACACCAGGAAGCCTACAGTCTCCCTCTCTGCGGTCGGTAAGTATGACGTGTGTGTGTGTGATGTAGGCATTAAACAAGCCTATTGTTGTATGCCCCTGCTGTTATTCTTCCCTCCGAGGGTGAACGTGGCAGAGTACAGAAGTGCCACCGTGTGTGATTGTCCCGTGTGGTAGCAGCCTGAGAGGCTCCGGTTCGCAGCTCCTTTTAGAGGAGCAGAATGCAGAAGGGATGTGGAGCCTTTGGAGGTTCCCAGGCATGGAGGGCGGTGGTGGCGCTTGGGCTCTGTCCTAAAATTGGTGGACAGTCACATAGCATTTGTGCCTTCTAGACATGAGTAGCTTCTTCCCTGCTAAACCACCCTCTTGCACTGCTTGTCCTGTGTTGTCTGTCTGCAATTTCTCCATGTCCTTTTATGTTTGATTGAATCAGCTGAGAAACTAAATCGCACCCCAGGCAGCGGTGTTGAATGCTGCCGACTGCCAGCCTGCCCCCTTACTTACTGAGGGGCTGGGTACATTAACCGGCTGTATCTGCTTTCCTGCTGCACCCTCAGCGTGCAGGCAGCTGCAGCGGTGACACAAAGGTGCTCTCTTTGGGCTGCGCTTGCTCTGGAAAGGCACTTGTCATGGCTGTTGGCAGTGCGACGTCCAGCCGCCCTGTAATACCGCCTGCTGGCAGCTCAGCGGGCAGGCAGCTGCAGCGGTGACACAAAGGTGCTCTCTTTGGGCTGCGCTTGCTCTGGAAAGGCACTTGTCATGGCTGTTGGCAGTGCGACTGTCCAGCCGCCTGTAATACCGCCTGCTGGCAGGTGCTGTGTGTCAGTCCTCACCGGCTGCGTGTTGGAACTGGGCGAAGTACAGATGATGAGCAAAACGTCCTTTTCCTGAGTTACTGTCCCCAGTATTACAGCAGTCCTCGCAACGTGTGTGTCTCATGCTCTGCTGCTAAGATCTCCTTAGGCTACACATCTGCAGTGGCTCCCCCTTCCCTCCCAGCCAGCAAACCTCTCTGTCACAGTGATGCAAAAGACTTACTGAATCAGAGAGAAGCAGTGTTCGGTTCTGGCGCCTGGGATGAGGTTTCACAGGTCAGCTGAGCCAGCCCAGCAGCCAGCTCCCCAGGAAGCTTCCTTCCTCCCATGCCCGATTCTGTTTAGTGCTGGTCCAGACATTTGTGTACCCTCTAGTGAGTGGATCAAATCAATCAACTGGCAGCCTATTTGCAGCTTTTTTACCCCTGGATTAGCTTTTTGCCAGGTTGTCAGGATGAATCTGCTCACCGTGCAGCAGGAGGTGGGTAGTGAAGGTGGGGAATAGCAGCAGGCTGAGATCCGTTTAGCTTTCTTATGGACCTCACCTTTCTGATAGCTTAATGTCTTGAAAATACTGGCAGAGTAAGGAGGGACAGAATATGTATTTCTCTTACAATATCTGAACAATCCACATCAACTGAAGCTATATTTTGCTGCTTATTAGAAATAACCAACCAACTTCTGATTTAGGCACTTGACTGAATCCTTTCTCATATCATATAATCATATCTGGACCATCATCCAGTTTCTTTACAATGCCATTGATGTCTTTGACTTCTGTGGTGTATTTTGACGGTTGGGCCTTCTGGTCCACCCAGTGAGTCTACCTCCAGCTGGCCAGACACGAGGTCCACCTGCACTGCAGCCTTCTCCTACACCTGTATTTTAGTAATAGATCAATAACACTGATTCCCTGTATAGCATCAGATAGTATAGAAGGTGTTGGGGAGACAAAGAAATCTATCCTTGAGCACCTGGAAGTAGCTTGAATCAAAACAGAAGGGATTTGGGAGGGGGCGATGAACCTGCAGTTCTTGTTTGGAAGAAGTTGCTCCATCTGAACTAATGGACATGAGCATTTTAACCATGGCTAGAAATTGCGATGAAGATCTCTAAGCACGTAACTGGAACACTCTTGCTTTGAGGTCCTCAGGACACAAACACTAAGCTGAGGAATCGGGAGTTAATCCTTTTCATGCCATCCTTCATGCTGGCTTCTGGGATATCTTTCCTCTGAACTGCCTTTCCTGTGCTAAGAAGGGCAGCTCTAAGCCCAGGTCAAGGGTCTGTTGTGGCCACCTACTTTATAATCGCTTGTTTTGACCTGCTCTGTTTGTGCTACAGCTGGAGCTTCCCAGGTCAAATGGAACAAGAAAAATGCCAACTGTTTAGCAACAAGCCACGATGGAGATGTCCGAATATGGGACAAAAGGGTGAGTTGAGGGTCTCTTGTTCAGCCTGTGCATATTCCCATGTAGCCGATACAGACATCCCTCTGGTCAGAGATAAATACCGAGAAAAACATACTACTTTATCCCAAATCTCTCTTGTGGGTTGATTTAAACTAGAGAGAATTGGGAGTCCGCGAGCCTGAAGAGAGCATGTAGATAGCCTCCTTCCCCAGAAACCGTGCCCATTAACATTTTGCTTTTGATCTCATAGTACTTAACTGTTTTACTGAGTATAAAGCATGGTTCAGGGCTGCGCTCGGTGACTGGAATTTGCCACGCCTTCACAGGACCCTTCCTCCAACTACTTTTGCTGAGCTATTTGCCTTTCCCCAGCAGGAGGGTGTTCCACCTCTTGCCCTTGTTCAAGTGTCTCTTTTTATGCCAAAGAACTAGACCAAATTTCAGGAGTCCTGTGCTGAGAAGGCAAATGTCTCTCCTTGCAGAAACCCAGCACTGCAATAGAGTACTTGGCAGCTCATCTCTCTAAAATCCATGGTCTGGATTGGCATCCTGACAATGAGTATACGTTGGCCACTTCCAGCCAGGACAACTCTGTCAGGGTAAGTGTTGCTTCTGGGACTCCTGCCTGGGAGATGTCAGGGTGGTGGAGCAGATCCCCTTCTACTACTGCTGAATTCTTGGGGAGTGCTTGCCATTGGCAAGATCTGGATCCTTGTTTTTTGATTTCTGGCAGCCTGTGTGTGTTGAGCCAGGGGTGCGCTTAGGGAACAGGCAGAGAAGTCATTGCAGGATGGGTGCACATATGTTTGCCACGTATCTGTGGTGGTTTGGGCAGTACTGAAGCTGAAAACAACCGCCTCTGCCTATTGCTTGCCAGAAGGGAGCTGGCCACACATGCCAGAAGAGCCTTCTCCCCAAAACGCAGTGTTGCCAGCCTCAAGCTGATTACAGCAGCTTGGAGGGAGACACACTCCAGGCCCTGGGGTTCCCAAACTTATGTTGAATTGGGTTATCAATAAGAGACTGCCTGCAAGCATTGCTATGCAGGGCCTTTTACTTGGGGGGAAATAGTGTGCTTTGTATGTCAGCCAAATGGAGTTCATTCACATTTAGCTAAGCTCTGAGGCAAATGCAATTGATGTGTATTCTAGCAAAGCAAAAGGTTAGATTCTTCATTACAAAATTAGCAGTAACAGCAGGGTGGGCCTGCCTCCAGTCTGGACTGGCACATTGGCTGGGAGCCTGCAATGTACCTTGTAGCTCTGAAAGCCCAAGCAGGCTGCCTGTATCCCTGCTCTAATTACTCAAGCTATGATCACTGTGAATATGACCCCAAGTCACTCGTTGTCTGAGGGATGCTGCCAGATGCTGATAGCTTGATATTTGTCCTTTGGGGCCATCTCTGCTGTTAATGAATGGGATTACTAATGATGCTGTGGGCACCCTGGCATGTTTTTCGCTCTATTATATCTGCAAGCCACATGGAAAACTGCAGCCTGAAAGTATAGCCAGCTGACTCCTGCCTTCGCTTGTCTTTTTGGGTTTTTTTGAAGTTCTGGGATTACCGTCAGCCTCGGAAATACCTCAATATCCTTCCCTGCCAGGTTCCCGTCTGGAAGGCAAGATACACGGTGAGTGAGAAACTCCCACCAGCCCCACTTGTGCTGTGAGAACAAATGCACAAAGAGACATTGAATAAAGAAGAACTGCTGAAGGGCTTCTCACCAGTTCTACTGCTGGACATGATTAAGTTGATTTTAAAAATCCCTCTCGGTGCTTAAAAGGCCTAGAAAAGCAATGTCCGTGATGGGGGCACTTGGGAAAAGGAATGACTAGTAGTGCGAGATCCCAGTCTTCGGCATCATCCTCCTGGGGGGGAAAAACCCGGGTGCAGGTGGTTGGCTCTGGGAGCAGGAGGCTCAGAAAGCGGCTGCTGCTCTCGCTGTCCTTTTTTTTCCACTCAGCTCCAGTATTGGTATCTGTTGCACAGAGCAATGCAGCGGTCTTCTGTCCTCTCCGAGTGCCTCCTCTACCCCCAAGGCTTCCAAGTGTGCTGTAAAGCACATCAAATCCAAGAACTGTTGCCTTTTATAGAGCAAGCACCCAGCCATGTGAAGCTAAGGCTCTTAACATCAGGCATATCCGTTCTCTTCCCCAGACATCTGAATGTGGCCTGAAGCCAGTGCTGTGCCTTGAGTCTTTGATCCCCTTTCCCCATCCCCATGGTGGGGGGTGTAGGACTGGGTTCCAGTGTTCCTCTGAGTGTCGTGACCCTGAGCAGCTGCTGGGGCTCAGTCCCCAGGCAGCAGTTCTGGTAGGTCCAGGCAAATTGCCGTAAGGATCCCATGTGAAAAGTCAAGGGTGAAATCCCTCCAGCCTCACAGCTGAAAAGTGAGGAAGCAGCAGAAAGAAATGATTAATCTTAAGTGAGCTGCATTGACTATCTCAGTGTACTACATCTTATCCCTTGTAAGACACTGTTTTTGCACAGCAATTGCCTTGGACCCTCCCAGTTTTAAGCCTGGTTCTGTTTTGTGCTGAGCTCCTTTAAAACACACACGTTCTTGTTGGTGGGAAAAGGGAAAAATTAGAGTGTGATAACAGTAGCATGGGAGCATAATTCCCCAAGGCTAACTGGAAGGGTGTTTCTCTCTCAAGCCTTTCAGCAATGGGCTGGTGACAGTGATGGTCCCCCAGCTCCGGCGAGAGAACAGTCTCCTTCTCTGGAATGTCTTTGACTTGAACACGCCTGTCCACACTTTTGTGGGACATGATGACGTCGTGCTGGAGTTTCAGTGGAGGAAGCAGAAAGAAGGTGAGTTCAGGGCTGGGTGTGCTCTCTCCCCTGCGCTGCGGCCATTGGCTAACCAGGGGTGTGGAGGCCTGGCTGCGATGCTTATGCTATGGCCATTTAACTCTTGTCTTTCCTTGGAGCAGCTCCTACCCACTTTCCTGCGCCCCCCCCTCAAGTTACAGCTGTTTTGTACTTGTTTTATGGCACTGCCCACAGAGGCATTGCCCTGTTGTTTACATGCTAACAAAGCAAATCTACCAACTGTTGACTGGGTCAGTGGTGAGTCCTAATTGTTTCCACTCTCCTGTGAGTCTATTTGTAAATGGATCTTTCAGAATAAATTGTACAAACTATTAGATGGGTGCACAAGCACAGGCACTCTCCCCCTGCTCAGAGCTGCAGGCTAACCAGTTAACCCCTCACATCACTGCCTAGATCAGCAGCCTCCAGCATATCCCAGACCACAGACCCAGCGAACCCACCTTATCTGTGTGCTGGCAATGGCAGGGCAGGGGGGAGGGTGGGTGGGA